AAGCACTATAGGACTCTGCCAAAATGTGGAAAAGGTACATTTCCCTCCTCTGTTACTCCAGACTTGGTACTGTCAGATCCCTGAGGCTGGATTTGCAGACTGCCTCAGGTAAACTCCTGCAGCACTCCAGCTTGTCACCTCTGGCACCCTGACCTCTCAAGGAAAGCTGCTTCAGGAATAACTAAACTGACTGACTTGCAATAAAGGACGTGAGAGGCACTCACAGAGCATACTGTACCATCTAAATTGCAGGGTAACATCATTGCTACTGTCACAGTTAGCAAACAGCTAGGGGCAGAAACACCTGACATTCACACTGCTATTTCTGCAGATGGACATCCAATCACTATCATGCATCCAGCCCCAAAGCTTTTGCTCAGCTAAACTGTACATCCAGGACAGCTAGGCATCCCATCTTGATCTAAAAGTTTTGAATATATTTCATACAAGAAAGGGACCGGTGATTAACTCTGACATTTGATACATCAGTTTAAACCCAATATCTTCATCTTCTCCTTACTGGAGAGGTAACTGGGATAAGCAAAGATACAAAAGCCTACAATGAGCAATATTTTATCTTTACTACAGAGGTGACCTGACACTGTGGTGACACAGAAGATTCAATATAGTCCCCAGTTGAGGAAAGGAATTTTGCACAATATTAGATGACAGAGTTGTTCCATTGTATAAGTACCACTGGCATTATTAGCCTGTCACAAGACCAGGGTAGGAGCTCATAGACCGTAACTCTCACATCTGCCTTTGCACAAGGTTGTCTGTCTTATTATGTATGTGACACATCTCTGCCTGCAAGCAGCAGTTTTTGCAGTTGAATTTTGATTTAAAAATTCCTCCCACCCCTCCGAGCAGACACAGTAGTCTTCACTGCCTACCCCAGCTTTAAATAAGACTTGGGTCCACCCGAGTTGATTGCATTTCAGTGGGAAGGAGCACTGATACATTTGCACCATCCATTCTACTGTTTTTGTGCATGCAGAAGAGCAGATGAACTCAAGGGAACCTTTCAGTGTAGAGCACTTAGAGACATGAATTTCTTTCTCCTTCTAATGTAAACATCCATTACTTGGGTCTCTGTGTAGCCAACAAATTATTTTTTTCTCAGATGTTCTTCTCTAATTCATTATATTCTACATTCTGTTGTTAAATTTGCAGTAAAGTTAGATCAATATGAAAAGACGTTTTCTTCAATGGTATTTCCAGGAAAAGTACATAATGTGAACAGTTTGAACCCAGAGAAAATAACAGTTCTCTGTATTTCCACCGGGTGCATTTAGATTATAGCTCAGCAAAACAAAGAAATTATGGGCAACTATGTCTAATTTTCTTTTAAGAAAGTTCAAATGCCAGGAGCTGGTAAGAAACCAAGGGACTTAATTTCAAAAATAGCTTAGACAATTCTTATTCACATCTCATTGCCTTGTAGCACCACCTACAGAGAGGCTGTCAGAATCACATCTATTGCCAAAATTCAGGAAACTCCCAGTTCACTGGCCAAACAAATCCTGTTCCACTGTTTAAAACACTCTAGAAACTGTGACTTTCACAGCCTTGAAGCCTGAAAATCTTCTGCTACAGGATAAAGGCAATAATGTGTTCCATTTTTCCGGAGGTCCCTCAATTCCCGTGCAGAAAAAGCATCTCTAGCAATGACAGAGGTAACCCAGTCACTTTGCTGATTAGTTATTTAGAAACTTTCCTGCAGAACTATTCTAGCAGCCAAGTGTCCCAGCTGCTCAAGGATGGTGGGATTTGCCATGGCAAAATGCATTTAATGGTCCATTAATCCTACCTTTGGCAAAAGCCAATTGTTCGAGCTTCCAAGGACAGCAGTATTTCTCCTCCTCCATTTATGTACTCAATTACATAAGATAAAATGTCATGGGGATTGACTTGCATCTGATCACTGAAGCATAAGATTTGTTTGCCCTTGATTCAGCCTGAGTAGCTGGAGTGGGGATACAGAGAGCCTTCTGCTAGGAACTGGACAGAGAGAAAGGAGATTGCAAGCACAGAGTAAAAGCTGGCTTTTGAAATATGGCTCTGATTATCTGCCCATTAAAAAGAAATGTTTAGCTATTTGCCTCAAAATAGAATTCTGAAATCTGGAGTGCTGTTGTCTTCCTTCGGAAGCTTGATCCAAATGCCACAGTAGCAAATAGAAAGTTCCCCCCATTTGGGGCTTTGGCTGTGGGAGGCAGTGGCTGCAGGAATGTCTGCATGCACACAGCATCGCTACCTCATTGTTCATTAAGAACAGCAGAAAAGAACATTAAAAAAAAAAAAAAAGCAGATAAGAGGTCAAAGGAAAGCACAGCACTCCAAACAGAAATAAAATATATGGCAGTGAGGTCTAGCACCAAGAAACATCAGCCCAAAATATTAGCAGTATATGCTTAGAAAGATATATGTGGTGTTTTAAGGTGAGAAAATATGATCCATTTTATAAATGAATTGAGTGCTACCTCATAACATATTTGTTTGCCCTTGCCATGCACGTAAGAAGGCTATGCCAGTCCTCCAAAGGTCAGACATTTTCTTCTAATTTCTAGCCTGCATTTATTTGTTAATAGATAGATTAGATCTACTATCTTTTCTCTGCTATTCTCTGTTTAGAAAACTAATTATGTTACAGAGTCATCAGGTTAGTCTAACACTATCCACCTTCAGTAAATTCATGTTGTATTTCAGGCCATTTCTATCTGTCATCATGCCTTGTATTATTCTTTCCTGCTAAATTTATCCAAAAGTCCTGTATGTTAGTGGGATCAGACTTGAATCATTTTTCCCGTATTAGATTCTGATACAATTTTTCCTGCTCTCACATTGTGTTCCGCTGCTCCTGCAGCAATGTTGTTACACGGCCAGATACATTCTTGACAGGCAAGCTCTGTTAGGTGTCTGGGTCAGAAATTATTGTCCTATTTTCATCTTTATGTTTTGTTCCACTTGGATGTGAAAATTTCTATCTCTGTGCCTTCATTTCCTTTATGTACATTTCCACTATATATTAGGCATTCATTTGTGTCCTGCCTTTCCCCCTGTCATCACCCCTACTTCTTCTCTACTTCATCTCCTGGTCTGTATGCCTGAAGAACATTTTACTATTTGTTTTAATTTCCTTTGCAAGGCCTAACACAGCTTTACTTCTGGCAAATTTCCCTTTATGCCTACACTTCCTAACTTCTAAGATGTAGTTTTCTTTGATTAATCTTTTTTTCCATTCCTTCTAGTCCCTTTGCTTATTCCTAATATCCACTTTGAAGTGGTTATTCACTGAGTTAGGTCTGGACTCCTTCCTTACAGAGTTTTATCCCTTTGTGTACTGCTCCCAAACACTTTTTATACCCTTTGCTTCAATTCCCAGCCTTCCCAACATTCAAAACCTTTTACGCTGTCAAAAATCAGGAAGTAAAGACACAAATGATCAGTGCGCACCAACTTCCAGCACATTAGGAGCATAAGGCATCCCATCAGGCACACGGTTGCTAAATTGAGATATTGTTGCTAAATGAGATATTCCAACCAGTTTTCTCTGTGTAGGCAGCCAGAACCAAAAGATTGGTGGGAGACCTCTGGCTGCATACGAAATTCCACTCAACTTATAGCCACAGTAGTGATGCCAAGAGAAGGTTGGAGGATCATTAGCTGAAACTGTTCTCATAGAATAAAAAATTGTTACAGTAGATTAAAAATTAGCATGAAGAAATGAAGTATATACATATACTTTTAAAGTCTCTGTAAGGCAGCCAAAGTGAAAACACATTTCACCAGACCACGAAAAATGAAATGCATGTGTTGATCCTTGTAAGGCTGGAGCTTATTTCCTTGCTAAATTCCAAGTTTTGGTCTCTCCCACTGAGGCAGAAGGGCTGCTCAAGTAAATTCCCAAAATGTCTTGCAACAGCAAAGGGATACTTCTTTCTATTTCTCATTGTACAAATCTGTCCAGGCGGTTAGATAAAATGGGGTAATGCTTCCAGAAAATGTGGTTGTGATTATACTCACTGTTCCTTCCATATGTGTAAATACTAATTTTTTATTTTTCTGGTGAGAATTTAAGCTGGAGATGCTCCTGGTGACCAGCACGCAGCAGCTGCCCTGACAGCCCCAGGGAATGGCTGATGTGATGACCACAGAGATCGGGAAGCCATCAGCACGGGCCTGGCGCCGGCAGCAGCAGGAGCTCGTGTCAGGGGTGAGCAGCTGCCAGGCTGTCCAGCACTGAGGTGTCAAAAAGCAGAGAAAAAAAAAAATAATAATAATTTCAGCCACAGCCTTATTAAAAAGCCTCTTTTGGAAAGTCAAACCGAATGCTGTCATTTTAAATGGTGTGTTTATTTTGGGAGAATGTACTGATTTTTCAGTGGTCTGAGCTGACATAAAGACCTGTGTGAGTTTTTTGTTTGCTTGTTTGTTTTGGGCAATACAGACTTCACTGAAAGCAAAGCAAATTTGGGGTGATGTTGGGGACTCAGAGGAAAAAAGTGAGGGGCAAGAGGCAAATCAAAATGGTCATGGTGTTATGCTTTGAACCAAAATTGTTCCTGTTAGAGATGCATCGGGCAGTGAGAAGCAGCAAATGTACAAAGTTAACTGGAAGCTCTCTGGAAACGTTAGGTCTTCTCTATGCTGAGACATTTTCTGTCACCACCCAGCGAACCTGGTGACAGGTGTGGAAAGACGGATGCTGCTGTTTGAGGCGGCAATCACCACAAGGCACTAACACCCCTCACCACTCCCACCATAGCTTTTTGGGGTGGCGTCAGCCGTGTGCGAGGGGTCACTTCCCAGCTGTTTGGGCTCATTTAGAGGCTTTCTGCTTTTTCTGCTCCCTTCCCCTGTGTGGGGGAGCCGGCAGGGAGCCGGAACCTTGCTGCTGCGGCCTGCGGGCCCGGGCGGAGCGGGGCGGAGGGCGGCGGGCGCTGCACATCGCGGAAGCGGGCCGGGCCCCGCTGCCGGCGGATCCGGGGGCATGGCCGCGGCCAGCGGCCGGCGGCGCCCGGTGCCGGGGGCCTCTCCCCGGGCCCTCTGAGGGGCTGGGCCGGGGCCGAGGGCCCGGCGGTGAGGCGCCGAGCGGCCCCGGGGCTGGAGGGGAGGGTAAGGGAGGGGTGGGTGCGCCGGCTCGGGAGGCCACCATGGCCACCCGGCGCCTGACGGACGCGTTCTTGTTGTTGCGGAACAAGGCGGTGCAGAGCCGGCAGCTGCTGGCCGAGCAAGTGAGTAGTTACGGCTCCTCCAGCCCTCTGAGTTCACGTAGCATGGCTGCTGCGGTGAGTCTCCTCCCTTCATCCTACCGTTCCGTGCTGAGCCGAGCCGGGTCCCTCTCCCCACACCCCCACCGAGCCCCCCTGGTGCTGCTCCCCCCCCTCCCCTGCCCCAAAAAGCGAATAGAAGAGGCCTGGCTCTGGGCTTAATCCAAATACCTTCACGGCGGTGTTGCCATGAGGTTTTTGTCCATTGCTTATTTTTTTTCTTCCCACTGTCTCCCCAGTGGGGAAAGAAAACTGCTTTGTTTCACAGAGCAGAGCTCTTCTATCCGCTGCAGCGTGGGCACCGTCCAATGCAGTACTGTAGACCTGTCCCTCTTGTTGCTTGACTTTTCCCATAGTTTGTTCCGATGTCTGTTGTTTCCCCAAATGCAAGTAATACCCAAAGTCATCTCATCTGTGACGGGGGTGTCAGTAGATTCTAGTGTGATCCCTCTGAGCAGAAACCTCAGAAAGCTGTTTGTTCTGTGGCACTTTGTGTGGCTTTGTCTAAGTTTTGAGCTGGTCACACTGGGATGGAAATCTTAAAAGTTAAAGGTTGCTTTGAAAGGTTCAGAGTTATTGAAATAATTCTTTACAAAATAAGTACAAAAAGGTGTTTATAAACAAGCAGTTTCCTTAGAGCAATTTGAAGGGTATTTGAACGCTGTTGATTGCAGTAATGAAACAGCCTGGCAGCTCAGCTTTACTGGCTTTTAAAGCTGGTTCCTCAAACTTACCATTTGTAATAGCCTCCAGTAAGTATCTGTTGGCACTCTCATCTTCCCATTAAAGCATTTTTTTAGTAAAAGCAGTGCTTCATGCTGCAAAACTTATTTCAACTGATGAGCTGCCATTGAACATTTCATTATTTTTTAATTGTATTACACCTGTTTCTATACAAGCTATACATTCAATTGCATTTACAGACCAGGAAATATGAGTAGTGATATGTATTACGTGTGCTTCATTGGGCATTGCATTTGGTTCTCAGTAATTTTTCTTGCCAATATCATTTTTTGATCCTTGAAATTTTTGATTCTACATGGAAAGAGATGCTGGAACTTGCCTACAGGCTGCTGAGCAGCGAAACTACTTTTACTCAACAGCGAGTGCAGTAACACTTAGCACTCGTGTAAGATGTTTATTTACAGTCTTTGTTGATACAAACTGAAGCATTTTCTAGGATGCTCATTCAAATATAACCAAAGTGAAGTGTTTGGAAATTGTTAGGGCCTTGTCAAGCAGATGAGTCAGTGGCTCAGCCATGTTCTGGTGGACAGAAGTCTGTAGCAGCTCCCTGCTACAAGCATGGCAAGAAGCGTAAAGGTGGTACTGTGAGCTCTTCACCTTTGTGTTTCCAAGGTGCTTATCACTGTTAGCTAGTTACTTTTTCTTTTGGGTGTTATTTCCAGAGGAGAGCCCCTGTGTACACGGCAATGTTGCTAATTCTGGCGCATAGTACTTTGACTTAGCTTCATGCATTCTCTAGGCTTCTCCTGAAAAGTCCTGTATTATGAGAGCTGTATGTCAAAAACTGCTTTCTGTCCTGGAAGATGCATTCTCATGCTGACAGTCAACAACTCCTTAAACTCAGATAATCAAAATAGCATTTGTGACAATATGGTAATATTTCAAGATCTTGGTATAGGATAAAAGAGGCCATTGATTGAAGCCTGCTGCTTTGTTAAACCTCAAGTACTTGTCCTTGTTTTAGATCTCAGTGCTCACACACAGCCCCTATGCTACAAGGAGTGATGAGTTACAAAGGTGCAGATGCTAGTCTTTGGGGGTTTTGGGGATGCACATAAAACTAATGGTATCTGAAACTAGAGCATAACTGAAGTTCATACATGAATGAGCAGAAACTGTGTGTGCTTTCGCTTTTCATCATTTGCTGTCTGTTTTAACCTGTGATAACTGGGATGCTTACCAATAAATGTCCTACTGAAGTCTGTATGTGGATCCTCCAATCAGAGTCAAACCTAAATCACCAGTGGATGTTAAATACTACAGTCAATTACCCTTGCTGTCATGCTTCAGTGTATTGCAGATTTTCAATTTGAAATTTTAGTAAGTAGATACTTCACTGTGCAGCTAGTGTGGAAATCAAGCGGGTTCTTAACCTGATCTCTTACGTTCTCTTTGTTAATCAAGCAGCTGAAATACAAAAAAAAAAGTTTGTACACCAAGCAGAATGCTTACTCAAATGTATCATGATACTGAACTTCTATTGAATAGTGTTTTAAGTCAATTTGTTTTGTTCTTTGTAAACAATCATGTTTAATAAATAAAAAGCCTAGGATATCGTCAGTTGAGAAAATACTATATCTGTCCTATGTCTCTTTTTTTTTTCTTTTATTTTTTTGCTGTCTCTAACTGGATGGGGCTGATGGGATCCACAAATTGCTTCAGGAGTTGGATGAGGTATTGTTTTTCACATTTTATTTTGTCATGGTGCATCAAGCATACATAACTGAGCTAACGTCCCTTTTCTTATTCTGCAAGTTCATTAAGTCTCTTGATACAGGATGGGGTGTCTTCGTATACAGTAGAAGGATGAGGCTGCATAGAGAAGAGGAGCGTTTTGTGAAATAATGCTATAGTATTTATATGTATTATATATATGCATAAACTAGTCTGACTTACTATATGCATATGGGACACAGTACAGTGAAACTATTGACAATATTTTATGCTATGCATAAATTATGTAAACTTTGGTCAGGAAACAATGCCAGAGATAAAAAACCAACAGGCTTTCAAGAGAGCACTGTTAAGGAAGGAATAAATGTTGGTTTCTAAAAGGGGTGGGGGACTGCAGAGATTTCAAATCTAATATGGGAAAAGTAGAAATCTGAGAGAACTAGGAAGAGTTTTTTTGTGAAATCTTTCCCTGAGAACAAACAGTGAAGTAATTGGGTATGTCGTAAGAGGTGTCATTTATGATGACACCTTTTTCTGTCTCCGATAAATGAAGACATCTAATCTCTGGAGTTACAAAGCTTGCTTCAACTGACAACATGAAAAAAAAAATCTATACTATCCATTTTCCTGCTTTCCCCTCAGAGGAGGAAGATGACTGAGCAGATATGGCCTCAGCACTAAGTGTTGTGGCACCAGAGTTACTCAAAATTAAGACTACTATTAATTGCGATTTTAGGTTTCTTTTACTCTTTTTTTTTTTTTTTTTTTTTTTTCATCTTTTCCCCATCCCCAACACCACTATGAATCAATGGAAAGCGGTGTGAAAGCTGTCTGGCACCTTGTTTTATTTTACTCTCTGACAGTCCCTGGATCTTTTTGAGAATTATTCCACCCATTTTCCTGCAAGTTTACTTCTTGGACATGTAAAACATCTTTATTTGGAGATTTTCCAAAATGAGATCGTCAGACTTGTCTGGCCCAATATGAACCATGCTAAACCATTGGTAGGGTTCTGTTGGCTGTGAATCACTTCCTAATATGAATGTACCAGTACAAGAATTACTCGAATTCTCACTGCAATAACATCTCTTCTCCTTGAAAATCTGTGAAGAATTTACCCTGACTTTCATATCCTGTAGGAAGTGGGAGAGTATAGATCATTAGTATATGGGAGAGCTCATTAGAAAAATTGGAGCATGATTATACTTGCATCGTGTGCAAACATTTTTGAGGTTTTAATGGGAAGGGAAGGCAGACAAGTATTTATTTTTGTCAAAGATTTGCATCTAGTGTGAGTAAAGTTGATTTGCTGTCTCTTTTTAAGGATATTTCTTGTATCTTTTGTAGCTTGCTGATGATCGTATGGCACTGGTATCAGGAATAAGTCTAGATCCTGAGGCAGCAATTGGAGTAACGAAACGCTTACCTCCCAAATGGGTGGATGGAGCAGATGAAGTAAGTTGAATGGCGAATGCAGTCCTGACTTTTTCTCATGTAGGAGTTTGTTTGTGTTGTCTGTTGCATTACCAATACTGTAACTTTTATGATAGAAGTGGTTTTAGAAGAAAGATTAAAGCAAGCACTTTTTCTAACTTCTGACACCCCTGTTTAGAGAAAATATCAGGTGAGCTGTGATTTATTGTTTTGAAAGATATATTGCAGGTGAAATAAAGGGAGATTGTCTAGGAGCAGAGATTGCAGAGGACTAGATTTGTGTCATCAACAGGAGCCCAGTATTGGCACTGTGTATACCTGGGCCATTAGAGTAGTCGTGCTGTATCTGAGCACTTAGACTTGAGACTTTGGGGAAGTCCTAAAGCTCTCAGCAAAGCAAAGTTCTTCTCAGATATAAACGCAGAAAGGAGGGTACAAAAATTTCAGCATATTCTTTAGTCTTTTTTTGAACTCACTGAGGAATCCAGTTACATAGATTAGCACTTTACTATTTGAAAACAAGAAGCGTTAGTATCTTAGCAGGAGAGGTTTTCCTGCGTGTGTAGCACAGATGAGCTGTAAGTTACAGAAATATTTGGACAAATATGAGGGAATGATTCTGGAGGCATCCAATTAAAAGCCTTTTCCAGCATTTGGAGTGTGAAGTTCTTCTTGACTTTCAGAAAATCCTTTTAAAATCTCAAACAGGTCAGCTCATCAGTTTGCGTGTTCAGAAAGGTGATCAGTCTCCTTTTTTTTACTAGGACAGTAATTGTCTTTACAGATCTATTGTAGTGTCTAGTTTGAAAGCAAGTAATTTAAGTTAAGCTGTAAAGTTTAGTCTGTAGCATGTTTGACAGAGTTGAAGGTGTAACCTGAATTTTCATTTATGTTTTTGGAAGTTGGTTAAACCTTTCTTACTAAATTATATAATGATAAATATATTAACTCCGCCTTAATGGAGAATATCTGAAAACAGCCGTCTTCTCTTAGATTAACAAGAGGAGGTTTAAAAATAGCAAACTCATACTCTTGTGTTTTCAGTTACTAAGACAGCTTTTTGTGTCTTTTTTAGTGATCTTTGGTCTGCTTTTTGTTAAAGATTTGTTTCATTATTTTTGTGTAGCATTTGTCTGAACCCTTTCCCCTGAAATATTAGTCACTTCCCTTTCTTTATTGTTGGGTTTGCTGTTTTAGATTCAGTATGATATTGCCAGGGTTAAACAGAAGATGAAAGAATTAGCCAGTCTTCATGATAAACATCTAAACAGACCAACACTGGATGACAGCAGTGAAGAAGAACGTGCAATAGAAATAACAACCCAAGAGATCACACAGGTACAGACCGCTTTTGTCTCTGAATCAACAATGACATATCTGTAATGCATATCATGATAAGGCAGCAGTTTCTTTGGGATAAAGCATTTCTTCTCTTGTCACTATTAGAGTGAGCCAGAAGTCCTGGGCTCTTATGCTAGGTACTGCACTTACCATCTTAGTGAACTTTTCAATGAGTCAATTGCTTGTTTGCTTTTCTATCTTGGAATAGGATTGGAAGACTTAATTAAATCACGTTTACAATTACCTCACAGAAATCCACATATGTATTATATGACTTCCAGTCCAAACAGTTATGATGAAGAAAATGCCCTTGATCAGAAGTGCCTCTGTAACTCTATCCTGTTAGATTTAGGTTGTTAATCTATTTTCTGTATTTCCATGCCTTTTTAAACATTGCACTGGGCAATAAGAAATTCATTTTAAAATTCTAGAGGTCAAAAGTGTTAGTCTTTTGAACTTGGCAATGTGATATTTAAAGCACATGTGTTGCTGTATCTTTTTTTATACTAATGGAATTGTTTTTTCAGTTATTTCACAGGTGTCAGAGAGCAGTCCAGGTCTTGCAGAGCAAGTCACGTAGTTGTACAGAACAAGAAGCACGTGTTCTCAGGAATGTAGTGTCTTCCCTAGCACAGTCCCTTCAGGACCTATCCACCAACTTCAGGCATGCACAGTCTGACTATCTCAAACGTAAGCATAAGAGATACAGTAATGCATGGGTACTTTCTGTGCAAAGCACTAATTAAGGTGTACTTACTTTCTTGTTGGGGAAGGTACATTAAAGTTTGGTTAGTGATGGTTACAGGACCACCAGGATTATATTAGATTGGGAGTTTATGATATATTAAACTTTAAAAGATGGTCTGTGATAAATTAAAATTGTGCATCAGCAAACAGATTAAGAATGGAATATCCTATTTAAAGTCTAACATTGTGTTCAATTCTATTTTTGGCAAAGTAAAGTAAGCTGATTTGTTAAAAAAAAAAAATCTTCTTCAGATGAAATACTTTAATTGCCCTGGTGTAAATAGTGTAGGTGGAACTGAGGATCACAATTTAGAAGAGGGATGTTCCTGAGAGAATCTGTTAGAAAACAGCCCAGTGATCACACTTTAAGGCTCTTAGCTTACTCAAAATCTTTTTAACTTCATGGAATGAAATGACTTAAAACTATTGGCTTAATCAGTGTTTTGTAAGCGTGCTAGAATTTGTTATGCTTTGTTAAATAGTAAGCCTATGTGACAATTCGAATTTAGACGTTCCTTGTCATTTATCAGGTAGATTTTAGATAGATCCCATATTTATCATGTTTCCTCCAAAAGCAGTTGGAAAATACTCTACTTCCTGCACACACTTTTCAAAAGTGCTAGGAAATCTGAATGACATCAGTGTGTGTAAACAATGCGCTCCAACACAGTTTGTCTTTCACAGGCATGAAGAATAGAGAGGAAAGATCCAAACACTTCTTTGACACTTCAGTTCCACTGATGGATGATGGAGAGGATGATACGCTTTATGACAGAGTAAGTTAAGATATTATTATACAAATTCAGTACAAAAAAAATTCTTAATTTACTTCTAGTATGAAAATATCAAAATGCTACACTCTGAGTACCAAACTACATGGAAATTCTATTTCTGCAGATTTGTGATGCATTTTCCTAATGAGTGTTGCTCTTGATGTTAGACAAGTGTGCCATCAGCCTCAGTGTTGCAGTGTGAGGGAACTCAGTGCAGCTACTGAATGCTCCTTGTATGACTGACAAGGCCTGGAAGGTCTGTAAATACAGTGCAGTCCTTTATCACCCTACCTTTTTGCCATACACAAGTGATTATTAGAGAATTGTGTCAGTGTGATGCTGAGTTTTGGTGGAAGGTGACACTCTATAAAGTGAATTTAAAGCTTAACTGAAGATTTTCAGTATTACAAATTGTTGCAAGTAACAGAGTAAGGATTTGTTTCTGTGCACTTATGTTGAACAGTAGTATCAGGCACCCTCAGTTTTATTTTGTTGTGGAGTTTGGGTATGCTGCATTTCTAAGCAATGTTGGAATTTGTTCTGTCATGTCCCATCCAATAGTGCAGCAAAATACTCATATCTGTAATGTGTGCTTTTCAACTGGACAGATCTTATTTTAAAGCAAGTTGTTTGTGTGATTAGGCAGGATGCAAGACTTAAATTTTCTATGCTAAGACTATTAGTAGACCTAAAACGGTTTATGAATACAGTAAGATTTTTCTTGAATAGTTGTCTATCACTGAAATACCAAAAGGAGCGTTGCATTATTGAGTCATGGTCATGTAATTGCTGTAATTTTTTCTAGAGTTTTCACTCTAGAACACCTAAAAACCACAAATCTTTTATTTCAACAGGGTTTTACAGATGACCAGCTAGCATTGGTGGAGCAGAACACGTTACTGGTGGAAGAGCGGGAAAGAGAAATCCGCCAGATTGTACAGTCAATCTCCGATCTCAATGAAATATTTAGGGACCTGGGAGCAATGATAGTAGAACAGGTACCTCAACACCACAATGTTAGCAAGAGATGGGTGATTCCATGCAGCGTTAAGGTTTCTAGACTCTTTCTTTGTAATATCCTGTTTTCATGTACTCCTTACTTTTCCAAACACATTAATTCAGGCGAAGTTTCTTCTGCTTGAAATGTGTAAGAAGTTGAATTAATGAGGAAAAAGTAATAACTCATCTGTTCATTCTACATGTGTTCTATTAGTTACAGAGTTCTGTTAGTTATTTCTTCCAGAAATTCAGCTTAGGTTAAACATGTCACTCAAAAGTACCTGAGCGAGGATTATGGCAATTACAGGTTGTGATGTGAGATTGTGACAGAGCGGTCAAGTTAGGCATTAAGCAAGGAGGTCCTCTAGAGAAGTCCCAACTAGGTCTTCTAATGAACTATGTAAACTATGAATGTTTCAGGCTGCTTGCTGTGAGCATTATTACCCTGCCACTCACAATGATATTTTTTTTCATGAAGTTTGTTTAGGTTTAACTTGGTGCTCATTCTCTCCCTCCATTTCATTTAGGGAACAGTTCTAGATAGAATTGACTACAACGTTGAACAGTCATGTATCAAAACTGAAGAGGGTTTAAAACAGCTACATAAGGTAAGCTGACAGAATATTTAAGCTGTTTTGCATATCTAATTATCTTTAATTAAATAGCCATTATGTTATTCGGTCACTTTTCATTTATACGTAATCCCTGACAGAGGTGATTGCTGTACAGTACGATATGCCCTACTGTACTGTAGTAGGAACTTTCCATGTAACTTCTGTTAACATCATGCTTATTAATGTCAAATAGTTTTCTGGGCATCCAGGCAGTGTGCTTTAGTCTTTATGTTGCTGACCTGGTGGAATGTATCTACAACTTCTCACTGCACTGTTCTGAGAGCTTAGCACTTCTGAAAGGGGACTAGATATTGGGTACCTTGCTATTAGGTTTCAGTCACTCAGTTAATGTATTAAAGTTCGAAAATGTTATCTCAATAGCATGAGCAGCAAGAAGAAAAAATGTTTTCTTTTACCATGTGACATTTGTTAGAAGTTAAGTGCAGCCTTTTGCTTTTAAATGTTTACTATGAACATCTGAAAAGTTTCAATTGGCAGAAGAACGCAGATTTCTGTGGTTGTTTTGCTGGCTTTTTTGTTTTGTTCTGATTTTAAGCTAAGTTCTGACTTGTCAGCTCAGTCCAGTCATTCCATTACTGGAAAAATTAGAATGGGAGATTTATGTAAAAACTTCTAAGTAGAACAGTTTGTGTTGGAAATGTGGACATCTTACTGCTACACATTCAACTTTATATTGTGGCAGACTTGTAAAATATACACAGGAAAAACTGTCACTTGAGGAAAAGCAAAATAAATCAGTTCTATGTTTATTCTTTTTATATGTAAAAAGTAAAATGGGGGCTGCTAAAGTAAGGCATTGACCATTGGCAAACAAGGCTTAAAGTAATTGCAAGCAATTTGCACAAACTGAACTGGAAGTAAATGAATCAGGTGAAATCAATGCTATTTCTTATGTAGTGGTAGTTAATGAATTGTCAGCAAACCCGTGCTTGGAATGCTGATGAGACAATGGATTTCTGATGCAATATATACTGGAGATCAGGTGTTTTCAGTACAGCATAAAAATTCTTTCACCTATCAAGGAAAACATACATGTCTGAATAGTAATATAAAATACAGATAGATACCCTGTTGTTTTTAGTACTGTTGTTAACCCTATCCCGATTTAATAAATGTCAGTTTTCTGTTTTAATCGGCATAATTACTGTAAACTACCTAGATAGCACTTTCATAGAAAAGTGCTTTTCTATTTTTATATTTATATATTTATATTTTCTAGTGCTGAATTAATGAATTAATTTAATTAATTCATTCCAGAAGTCTGGTGTTATGAATCACTAATTATTAATTTCTGCTTCAACTGGAAAATGGGGATCAGTTGTGATACTTTGTCAGGCTTTGTGATACTTAAAGCCCAATTAAGTAAAATAACTGCAGTGATTGTGTATTATATAGTTTCAAGTCAAAAATTCCACCTTATAAGATCTGATGAAAATATCTTTTTTTACAAGGGCTATAAAGGAAAAGAATTAATATCTTTTCCCTTTAAAATTATAAAGGTTTATTAATTAAAAAGGAATTAAATGCAAGTTTTGTTTTGTTTAGTTTCTATTAGGAGACTTTCATTTGACTTTTGGAGAGTTTTCTCCACGTTTTAATTCCCCTGGGAAAAAGAGGAAAGGGATGAGAAAAGGTGGTTAGAAGAAAGAAGGAATGAAGCAGAAAACTGAGAACCAAAACAAAATGAAAGCTTTCAGTTCTAATTGAAATTAAATGAAAATGCACAGCTGAATCAGGTACAACCAAAATGCCTACTAAAATGAAGTATTGTGAATTTTAATGTCCTCCAGCTATAATATAGAAATGCTCTGTTGGCAAAATGACTTAAAACATCTTGCCAATTTTTACTGTTCAGACTTTTGCATACCTTGTTGCTTGATTTTTGTTTCCACAGTCCTCATAGCTAAGAGTTCTTGCAAATTATATCATTCTTCTGTATAGCTCACATGTCCTGTGGAGGCATAGGACCTTCTCGAGGACTGCTGAGAAGAATTCACAGTAAGGTTGCATAACCAACATGAGGATGCATTCTTTATAGTCTCTTATTTAATATGGATAAATGTGACTTCAGTGTATATTTATTTTCACTCAAGTCTTTGGACTAGAGTTATTTTGTGGGAGTTGCTTGCAATATACTGTATATGAAAAGTCAAATTACCAAAGAAAATGAGGTACATGTACTTAATTATATTAAACGAGAGTCCATACTTAGAGCTTTGCAGAAATCTAAGTATTAACTCTTTCTTTTCTGTTTCTATAGGCAGAGCAATATCAAAAGAAGAATCGGAAGATGCTTGTTATTTTAATTTTGTTTGTTATAGTAATTGTCCTTATTGTTGTTCTTATTGGTGTAAAGTCACACTAGGTTTCACTTAATTTTCTTATTTTTGGAGTTTATGTGAACTTTTTTCCCCAATGTGAATGGATGGATCTGCACTCCAGAAAGCTGCCTTTGAATGTATAAGCCCTTGTGGTACAAAGTCTGTGCAATGTTTCTGTAGAATTCTTCAGAGTACAAGTTTGGCAACTGGTGAAGTGTTTGTTTTAAAATATATATATATATATAGTCCGGAAATTTGATGGTTCCAAATGGATAATTTGGTTCTTTGTCCAGGGGTATTTGGAAACACGTTACTTAAATACTTACAAAATTGAAGTTTACCAGTGAGTACAGTAATTCCTTTGTTACTGTGAACAATAATGCATTGTCTTCTGTATTATGTTGCAATTGTTATAGGCTTCAAATTTAAACTGTGTTACCGAGTCATGGGACTAGATAACAGAAATTGATCTAGATGTAAAATATGTTGAGGCATAAAAATGTTTGACTTAATTTCTTTTCTTCCAGACTCAGACTCCAAGGAATTAGGTGAAAAAGAAGGCGTTTAACAACCAGAACCTAATCCAATCCCTCTGATCTTAATTTAGATATTGCATCATCACTAAGAATCAGAAAGCTATGTAATCTTGTAAATAATAAGATTTAATCACTGGCATAATTTAACACAATTACTTTTTTTTTTCTGAGCTTGAGTAATCGTGGGAATGTTTTCCCTCACTATAGAATGATCATTGTATATACATGTACATTTTTTTAAAAGTACAACCATTACACTAAAGATGTGATGAAGTTAAAACTAAAAAGTAGAGATTCTCCATTTGGCTTTCTACACAATCTGGCCTGCTATAGTGGTCTTGGATGTTTCATACTTTAGTTGTTGTGTAAGATGTTTATTTTACAGTGCATCTGTCCAAATGTTAGTTTTTTATATAAAAGTGATTTCACTACAGTATACATTACATCCATTTTCCCCTGACAGAAGATTATTTTTTTCAAATGCCTGCCTAGAAAAGGACGTGTTTATGGTCTTTTATTGACCATGATAGATGTCATACAAGTGACATGTACTAGGCCTTCAGTAGAGAATTTTCCTTTTTTCCACTATTTTTTTTTGCAGTGGAAAACTTTTGCTGTAGGCCATAAAAGCAAAATTAGAGAAACATCTAAGTAATAGAGTATTCATGTTTTAATTCAGGCCTGAAGTGGTGTGCAATTGTAGAGGCCTTGCCTTAATATTTTTAATATGGCTTTTCTGTATGTACTTTTCCCCAAAGGGACTGTAACTTATATTTCCTTCATTTCTGATTGATGCTGTGCTCCCCGTAAAGCTGCATAGATGTTCTGCTCAAATCCCCTGAAGTGCAGTTTAATAATATTATGATTTTAATGTTGCACATGTGAGACAGGATTCCTCTACCTGCACTGAACTTGTCTCTTCCATGTACTAAGGAGGACCTAAGATGTGGGTTTACACTGACTCAGTGCAGGAATGAGCCTGAAAGAAAAGACTAGAAAGAAATGAAAGCTGCGGCTTTTGGGCTTATTGTGAAAAGCTTTGTACCACTCCTGTTACCTCTAGACAAAGGGGATGTTGAACTTCCAAAACCGCCAGTTCAAGCCCTTGGTTAAATTCATAAAATAAATCCGTAAAAGAAAGAACGATGCTTTTAGGTGGGCGTGCAGTTCCCCTGTTCTGGTAATAGATCTTTTCAATGATCGTGAGTAAAACTACTGTCTCCCTAGTGTGCTGTCTACATCAGTTGGTGTGAAGCAGCATATTGCTATAATTTAATATACTGTATTTGCAACTTTCTAACATGAGATCGTGTTATTTATTTCTGTCTTGACTGGTGCTTTTGACATTTTATCATGGCTAATGAATTCAGAGAAGTAATAAAACACTTCCAACCTTATTGGTCAATTACTCTTTTTTTTTTAATAGCATAACCTGAAGCAAATATTTGTGATGTTAATGTCTCATAAATTTTTTTGAAATTAAATAAAAGCAGCAGTGACATGAAATACCTGTTTTTTTAAAAACTTTATGTAGCACTATGTAATTTATATTGTCAAAACAGTGACTTTTTTTTCTCCTGTAGTTGCCATTAAAATGACAGTGATATTTTAACTCCACTAAGGTAAATGGCTATGTATTTCCTATCCAAATTCTGTAAAGGAAACACACTTTCTTAATATGCACTGCACAAGAGGTTGAGCTCTGATGCGAATTGTCCTGTGTAACTTGAGCTAGAATTTGAGGCTGAATATTAAAAAAAAAAAAAAAAAAGCAAAACAAGCTTCTAGACTTCTGAATCACTTTGGATGTCTAATTTATTACAATTCAGTCTAAACTATTGATTAACTAAAACATAAACCCTTATGCAATGCTTTGGAAGAGTATCTTTCTATGGAGTGTTATAGAAGGGGTAGCCTCAGTGCCCAAAAAAGTCACTGCACATGAGGAGAATCGTGGCTTCAACAGTGGCTGCTACCTACTCAGGTGTTACAGGAGCAAAAGCTGCTTGAACCAAGTGACTGCTTCTGTCCAGCCCTGTAATCACCTCTGCGTGCATCACAGGGTTCTGCGGACTGTGACCTCTTCATGGTTGCTGGATTCTTCTGAGCTTGTACTGAGCCTCTGCCTGACTGCTTACCGAACGCCACGGGGAACTGCACGATGTTGCTAGAGCATCTCCCAAGAACCTGTGGTTCCCCACTTGGTCTGAATGACTTATAAAGCTGTTTGCTTGTACAGACTTTCTCCATTAAAATGTATGCAAGCATACAACAAGAAGCTGCTATTCCTTATTAGTAGAAGTTAATTCTAGTGATATCTGAAAACGACAGTATTACAAGCACTGCAACAGTAAATTAATATCTATGGTGAGTGTTCTCCAGAAACTGAAAAGTAAAATGGAAGAATTTTTCTTTTAAGAAACGTTACATATAAGCTTAATTAAAACAAGGAATCCATTATGCTGTTGCATATTAATTATGGTGGAATATGTAATATTGAGTGGCTGAATTCCATTAATACTTGCAACTTCTAGAGGATTAACAACTGGAGTGGCCGTGGAAGATTGGGCCATGCTGCAACTTCCATTGAGGCTCACATGAGTAGAAATGTTTGCAACTACTATTAGTGGAAAATAAGTACGGTTTCTGTATCATAGAACTGACTTTTCCAGTCATTCTGTTGCTTTGATTAGGACACCCCTCTGCTGTCCCTAACTTAATGATGGAAGGTTCTAGATTTAGATGAGCGTTTCCTACTGCTTTTTTTCCTTTGGAAAATACAGATTGGGACAGTACGGTATGATGAATCTTGCAGTAGTAGGGATGGCAGAAGCTGTACTAAACGGTAGAGAGTTTACCTGGTGGAATTTTCTGAATGTCTTGATCAAGAAATAATAATTCTATTATTCTCTTTCATATTTTGCTCACTGTCCGTATGTAATGGAATAATAGTGAATCCCTACACAGCTTATGTTCTTTGGCTCAGTAAAGAGACTCATAAAAGTTGGCTTTCATATCTCTACATGAAGTGTTATCAAGTGTTGGAGTTTGAACTTGTTTATTGGGTTATCCTGTCCAGTCTGTGATGACGCGTGATTGACCTCTGCAATAGATTTTGCTAGATCTTTTATTCAAGCTAATTTTAAATGTATTGGGCAATAAAGTTTCCATAATGTCCCTTCTGGGACCAAGTAAGCCTTACTCTAAGAAAGCTTTTTTTTTTTTTTTTTTTTTTTTTTTTTCCTGGAATTCAGCCTAATATGTATTTTCTTCTTAGATGTACTTCCATTATTTGCATCTGCATTTTCTTTTCCACTATAAATGGAAGTGCACTCCCTTTGTGATATTTAGACTTTCCACATAGCTGCAGATTAATGAGTACCGATTCCCTGCTGACCTGACATTAATAGGAGGTGCTTGACAAATACAAAAATATAAGGATAACAATCCCATTAAATTTAAAACATAAATTTGCTATTAAAGTTGGAGCTTGGAAAACTGTTTCCTTTAAGTGACTGCCCATATTATAGTTTAGAGTGTATTTTGGCTTTTTCTTCTGTTTCTGTAATGTTTTTAGAAGCACATTTTCTCTGATATTTAGCTTCATGAAGGAAAGAATTTGGCTTTTTCCATTTTTATCCCTGTATGATTCTACATTTTCAAAATGTAGCATTTCCATCCTTAAATGGAGTTATGAGAGGAAAGTAAGAGTTCCAGCTTGATTAAAATTGCATGCATTTTAATTGTACATGGAGGTGGCTGGAATTAGTACAAATACCTTCACTAAAGAGGCTGAAAGACTCGAGGAATGTCACGCTGTGCACAGCAGTGTTGCAGCATCTTTTTTCCATCGTTGTCTATGAACAGTGGAATTGTAGAAAACTAAAATGATCTATGTGTGTTTTCTGAAACTCAGGTCAAATAAAAAAAGGCTACTAATATCACCTGATAACTCGTGTTTCAGAGGGTGGGGATGCACTGGAACAGGTTGCCCAGAGAAGCTGTAGGTGCCCCATCCCAGGAGGTGTTCAAGAATGGCTGGATGAGGCCCTGGGCAACCTGACCTCGTGTGTGGCATCGCTGCCATGGCAGGGGCTTGGAATTCGGTGGCCTTCAAGGCCCCTTCCAACCCAAGCCATTCTGTGACCTAGCAGCGGAGTTGCTTGTCCTTACGTGTCAGGTTGCCTGTAGATGCAAGGGGGACACCACTCCTCTGTCTGTGTGTATTATTTAGTGGCTTCCAAATGACAAGTGGAAGAACAAGCTGCAAAATGTGATGGGGTGCTTATTAGTTAACCAACACAGGACAGCAAACCACGCTCCCCTCAGGTTTTATTTACAGCTTATCACGTTACTTCATGCAGATGTTCCACACAAGCTGAAGCAGCCCGTACCCCTACGCGTATTTACACCCCCCCTCCGGCCAGCCCGTGCCCCCCACACCTCAGGCCGAGGCGCCGGGGCCGGCCCGGTGCCACCCTCAGGCCCGGAGCCACATCCGGGCCCCGAGCCCGCCTGCGGTGCCCGGCGCGGCCGCCGGAGGCCGCCCGCCCCGCTGCGGTGCCCGCCCCGCCGAGCCGGCGCTGGGCGGCGGGGCGGAGCCGTGCGGACGGGCCGGGCCGTGCCGAGCCGGGCTGGGCCGAGCCGGGCCGGGCCAAGCCGAGCTGAGCCGGGCCGCGGGCAGGAAGATGGCGAACGTGCAGCTGGAGTTCCAAGCCAGCGCCGGCGAGGCGGACCCGCAGAGCCGCCCGCTGCTCGTCCTGGGCCAGCTCCACAACCTGCACCGCCTGCCCTGGGCCCAGCTGCGGGGCAAGCTGCAGCCGCGGGTCACCGAGGAGGTGAGGCCGGGCTGGGGGAGCGCGGATCCCCCCTCACACCGCCACCGCCGCCCCTCCATCGCCACCGCCCCGCTGCCGCCGCCGCCTCTCCCGGCTGCCCGCCGGGCGCTTCCCGAGGCCGCCTCTCCTCTCCTTTCCTCTCCTCTCCTCTCCCCGGCCCGGCCCGGCCTCGTGGTGCTCCCCGTGCCACGGCTGCGGCCGGGCGGCCTCGGGGCGCTCCCCGGGGGGCTGCGGACCCGGCCCGGGGGCTGGGGAGCGCCCGGCTGCGGCTCCGGGGCCTGCGGCGGGCAGGGGCCGGGGCCTGCCGGGCCTTGCTCGGGGGAAACCTGCACCTTCAGCAGCGGGAAGGGGCTTCACCCGGCTGAGCGGTGCCCTAAAAGCCCCCCGAGGCGGCCCTAAAGGAAAAATGAAAAGCGAAACCCCCCGGGGGCCGCTCGGCTCGGTGCTGCGGGGCGTCCCCGAGGCCCTGGGGCAGCCCCGGGTTGTGGCCGGAGCTGAGGGCAGCGCTGCCCCTTGGAGCGTGCGGCTCTTTCTTACCTTGTACCCGCTCTGACGGGTGGAAAGCGCTTTGCATGCCTCCCAGATGACAAGGTGCTGCCTGCCATTACAATAACCATCGAAATACACGTTCTAGGGTGGCAGATGGCAAGCTGGGGACTCAGCCTCGCTGCCTGCAAGGGGTGAAAGATACCGCGTCCCTTTCCTCCTCCCCTGCTTTCAGCTACGGCTGCGGAGTCTGTGGATCTATTTTTATTTAGATGGTGTTGATGGCTTGTGGCAGAACGATAGATGTTTTGCATCGCAGCTCTGAGGTTGCTAGATGCTTGGCAGTTTTATGTGTTGGGCTCTTGAGTCTCTTATGACAATATTTAGCCTTCTTTTTTGCTTTTAATTAAATTGCTGCATGAAAGAATAACGTGGGGCTAGTAAATCAGTCCATGTATTTATCACTAGCAAAATGGTATCAACTTAAAAGCGTCCGAAGCAGCCTGTGCATTAATGGCGTGCTTTTGTATTATAATTCATGTGGCTTAAGAGATACTTGAATGGAAAGCACATTTGTGTTTTTTGATTAATACATGGGTTCATCATATTTCCTGCCTCTTTACTGTTGTAGAGGTTATTGCATTTAAAAGGGTGTCATAATGTTTTCCCGTCTTATTCCAACTATGTTGAGGCATTCTTAAATAAAGGATTTTAGTTGTTGGAAACAAAGTCTGATACAGTACTTTATTTTTTTAATTCTTCTTTTCTCCTCAGATATGGCAGTCTGCTTTAAGCACTCTGAACCCAAACCCTACCGACAGCTGTCCTCTCTACCTGAATTACGCCACTGTGGCCGCGTTGCCTTCCAGGGTCAGCCGACACAACAGTCCATCTGCAGCTCAGTTCATTACCCGCCTGGTCAGAAATTGTCTTCCAGGAGGTGTCAACAGATGTATTGTTGTAAGTGGCTGTTGGAAAACGCTTCTGGTGAAGTGTCTAGTATTTTGTTGACTTTTTGGGATTTTAACTGTATCCAAGGAGACAAGGGGTGGATGAGTGTTACCAGTATAATTATACCAGCATTTATAAATGGTTTTGCTCTGGAGCGTAAACAAGACCTAAGTATAATAGCTTATACATGCTCAAACAGTTGGAAGAAATTAAGGATGGATATGTATGGAATGTTTTCAACCAGTAACGTCCATGCAAAGGGAAGCAGTAGTGGATTTTTTCAAAAAAAAGTATTTAAGGCTTTAGCACATGGTACATATCATGCTTTAGAAGATCGACATGGACTTCATACAGAGTGCTCTGTCTATATTGGACAGCCAGTTTTGGGTGACTCAAATTAGTCAATAAATTTTAGAAATCCTAATATAAACTAGTACTCCAGCACAAATCCTGTGCGGGAAAAGGTCTTGCACTAATTTGGTCACCTTTGGCACGAGCCAGATTAATTTGGTGGTTTTTCTTTCTATGGCTTCTCCAGATTAATCAAGAGCTCCAGCTTACTACGGAAAGCTCATATAGTCGGCATCAATAACAAAATCTAATTATACTTTTCTCCTGGAAAACTTATTTGCAAGAGTATTAACTGTACTCATATTTTTCCCTTGTACTTTTATGTGGAGATGTTTAACTGAAACTTCTTTCCATCAGTAATTTCTGTAATGAACTTCAGAAAAATATTTTATATGTTAAAAAGGTTTGGGTTGATATTAAGCACATTCTCATATCATTACTCTCATTGTTTTATTTGTTTCGAACACATACTGATGGTTCCCTTGCTTTTTTGTCTCAATCCTTGGGCTAACCAGTGTTAATTAGACACCTATAATTAAAGCAGTCTAGTTCCCTTAATTCTACACAGTCAGGTCCAGCAATGTTCATTTCCATATGGGAACTGAGCTGAATGAGTTCAGTTTGGTGCTGTTTGTACTGCTCCCCC